GGAGGAGCGCAGGGTACCGGGTCCCACCATTCCATGGATCCTCCTTTCCCGAGACGGCCCCGGTGGTGGCACCTCGCTCCTGGCCACCCCAGCGCTGTCCCCGACCCACCTGGCTCTAGGGAGAGCTTCCGCGCTGGTCCCCAGCGTCACCCCTCAGACCCCGCTGGGGTTTTTCCACCCGCCGCAGGGGTTATTCCTGACGTTGGAAATTCCCCGTGTTGTCTGAGGTTTGCCGGTGGGGTTTTTTGTGAACTTGGGATTTTGTTGTCACGTGTAAGGATGGATGATCTAACCAAAGCATGTCTGACTTAAAGAATCATAGCATTGTCTAGGCTGGAAGGGACCTTTAAGATCATCTAGTCCAACCATCAACCTAACTCTGATAAAAAACATCACTAAACCATGTCTCTAAGCACTATGTCATCCCGTCTTTTGAACACCTCCAGGGATGGTGCCTCCACCACTTCCCTGGGCAGCCCATTCCAACACTTAATACCACTTCCAGTGTAAAAAGTTTTCCTAATATCCAATCTGAACCTCCCCTGGCACAACTTGAGGCCATTTCCTCTTGTCCTGTCACCTGTTCCTTTCAGGAAGCTGCAGGGAGAGAGGAGGTCTCCCCTCAGCCTCCTTTTCTCCAGGCTGAACAACCCCAATTTCCTAGGCCACTTCTCATAAGAGCTTGAAAACAGCTTGAGTTGTTCTCCACAGCCAAGATCCTGAGCCCTAATTCCACCTTTGGTCCCTAGCAGGTAATTTCTGTCCCTCTGTCCCTCTCCAGCTTCCCCCTCATCCCATCCCCTTACTCCGGTGGGCTCCTCATCCCCCCAGAGCCCAGGAACCCACCCCACTCACAGGTGTAACACTGAGCAATAAACATAGTTTGCAACTACACAAAATTTACCGCATTGTTACGAAAATGCCTATAAATACTTAAAGGGTGGGTGTCAGAAGATGGGGCCAGGCATTTTTCAGTGGTGCCAAGTGACAGGACAAGAGGAAATGGGCACAAACTCAAACATGAGAAGTTCCATCTAAACGTGAGGAGGAACTTCTTCACTTTGAGGGTGGCAGAGCACTGGAACAGGCTGCCCAGGGAGGTGGTGGAGTCTCCTTCTTTGGAGACATTTAAAACCCACCTGTACACATTCCTGTGCAACCTGCTCTGGGTCAAACTGCTTTTGCAGGGAGGTTGGACTAGATGATCTCCAGAGGTCCCTTCCAACCCCATGTAATTTTGTGAAAAGTGCTTGGTCTGGAACAGCTCCGAGTGGGAAATGCTCTGGCAGTTCCACATGTGCCAAAGAACAGGCAAAACATACAGTTAATGTATGTTTTTCCGGCTGTAAGTTACACAAACATAAGCTTTTACCTACCCCACCTTCAGTCTGCCTTGGCTAAAAAAAAAAAAAACCCACCAGTGACACCACACTGGTGTGCTCAGTGCCAGCAACAGCTTTCTGTTGTTCATCACCTGCGAGTGTCTCAGAACACCCCCAACCTCCCACCCCCATTTGGAACTTAGAAACTGAAAGCAGCCCAGAGCCATTACACATTAATTTCAAAACCTTTAATAAGCTGAAAAATGTAAAACATAGGCTTAGTTTACACCCTGTACAAAAATATTTACAGATATGTCTACGAAAGCATAGAAACAGTTGTAAGAAAAAACACTGCACATGAGCACACACATATACATCGAAAAAACATTGTGCCTTAGGACAGAAAGTGCCTTGTGCATTTAAAAATCCATTTGTGAATTCAAAATTAGTGATTTGAAGCGACTGTAGTAATTTTGAAATCGCAAGGAAATTTCTTTAAGTGGAATGTACAGTTAACCAAAAGTGTTGGAGAGATTAACACAATGCCACAAAAATGCAAAGCTACCCCTCCTGCTTTGCTACCCCTCTGTGATGGAGGACCACCCTTGACTCCTTTCTTGAAATTAACATCTGTCAGAACCTCAACATAACTCTTTAGTTAATGGCCCAGAAGTTTGGATCTACATTTAAACCCCAAAGTCATGCTTTAAGGAAGCTGTGGTCGATTCCTACATGAAGGGTAACATGTAACAGCGACTCGGGCCTGTCTGCTGTAGGAAAGTGCTCAGTGGTTCCACATCTGGGTGTCTTTTTAAGAAGAAAAATCAGTCTTTTTGGACAACTTAGCTTTAGAGGGGTTTGGTTCTTTTCAGGCAGGCACCCACACGACAGCCTGAACTGCCCACTGTAACACCAGCGTCCTTCCAATGGTACGTAACAGCCAGTAACCATTACAAGTAGTTCTTCCCAACGATGGAAGAAACATGAAAAGTTTCTCTGCAAGATAGGCAGATGAGCATGGACTCATTTGAACTTCATTCCTAATTGCAATTTACATATGAATATGTTGAAGAATAACTTATGCTGAAAACTAAGAATCATACATTGGGGAAAAACAGAAAAAAAAAAACCAAAAAACCAAACAAACCAACTTTCCTCAAGCAATGCAAAACTGACAACTGCAGCAACCACGCTTTCAAATGAAGCTGGATTATTCCCAGCTAATTATGCAGACATCCAAGGATTTCAACACAGGAAATACCTAAAACCAGAAGCAGATTTTGTATCGCAGCAGGTAGTTTTGCTGAACTGAAGGCCTGCAAAGATGTTTTATGACGCTTACGGTTAATTGGAAGCTATTAATTATCGCAGTCAAATTATATATGCCTCTGAAAACAGGAAAAGCCCAGCTCCTCGGTACTACCTATCTTCCTTTAGAGAAAGATTGTCCTTTGTCTCTTACACCTATAAACACTGTCCATCTGACTCTCAACAGCATAAAGTTACATTACACATCTTCACATTCAAGAACACTTAAAGACTTGACAGAAGGTACACCTCCGCATTTGGTTCAGTCTAGAAAATAGTGCACATCATCCACCCAATGACAGGAGCAAGCCGTTCCTGCAGGAGCCAGGTTGCCTTGAAATCACTCCCGGGTTGTTCTCTCTCACAACAGTCTCGTAGCAGCCTCTTCCTCTGGCCAGCTTCTCAGACGATCAAGAGTGGATATTCAGGATAACCTACAAGCTGCTCTAAGCTCAAACAGTACATTAACAGAATTCAGCATACGCTTCAGCGTGTCAGAAGTCTAATTTCTTCAGTTGCTCATACGTCAGAAAGAACTGGAACAGCTGATTAAGGAAAACTGTTTCCTGTTCACTCGGTGCAGAAAGGTCACTTCTCTACTGCAGGACAGCAGCATCTGTGGGAAACTTTCCTCTTCTTAGCTCCCTCCTATGTAATGGTGCTGGTTGGCCATTTTTGCTATGCAGAACAAGATGTGCTTCAGGGCACTCCTGTACAATAAGTGCTTTAAGGCCGGTGATGCCAACTGCTTTCCCATCCCTCTTCCTTAGGATCATAGAATGGTTAGTGTTGGAAGGGACCTCTGTTGGAAGGGACCTTTAAAGGTCATCAAGCTCCAACCCCCCTGCCACGGGCAGGGACACCTCCCACTAGAGCAGGTTGCTCAAAGCCCCATCCAGCCTGGCCTTGAACACTTCCAGGGATGGGGCATCCACAGCTTCTCTGGGCAACCTGTTCCAGTGTCTCACCACCCTCACAGTAAAGAATTTCTTTCTAGTATCTAATATATTTCCCCCCTCTTTCAGTTTAAAACCATCACCCCTCGTCCTATCACTCCACTCCCTGATAAAGAGTCCCTCCCCATCTCTCCTGGAGGCCCCCTTCAGGTACCGGAAGGTCATTAAGGAGTCTCCCTGCAGCCTTCTCTTCTCCAGGCTGAACAACTCCAACTCACTCAGCCTGTCTTCATAGGAGAGGTGCTCCAGCCCACTGATCACTTCCATGGCCCTCCATCTTACACACAGGACCAAGGAGGCAGAGGATTGCTATGAAAGCCCTTAGGGACTTTACTCACTTAGCTTTGATAAGCTAGAGTAGGTTTGCGCATGGTAAAAAAACCACATTACTACCAACCCACTTCCTAGGGTTCCAGTCAGCTGGCTCTTCAAACACAAACCAAGCTGTGAGACTACGATAAATACAAAAAGATTTCATGGCTAACTCCCCAGTTCTAGAAATAGCCCCCATTCCTAGCTCATCTAGTTAATTTTATTTAAAACTAGGCTCCACGCTAAAGAAATGGACAGGTATGAAATTGGAGGAACAGAAAAATGTTTTGCAAGATCACATTCTAATATTCACTTCTGTGAATCAGAAATTCAATCTGACCAGCAGCAGCTGACTAAGAAAATGGTCAACTATAAAATTTTCAATCCATAAAAAGGGAATATTTGTGCTGATGTGACACTTTCCCCACTCAACATTCTGTGAAACTGTCAATACTTGCTGTTGTATAGCCAGCTTCATAGGTTCACACACCTTTGAAAAGGATACAATGATATTCCAAGGACCGAGTCTTAACCAGTTTGGCCAAAACCCTTTATATAGCGCAAAAAAGCCTTCATTCTTCCATGTCTGGGAAAAAGAAAAAACAAAACCACAGTAAGAACACACTAACGTAATTCTTCATTGGTGAGAAACCTAGACAGCATCTCAGCTAACAAGATTCTATACGAGCTGAGGGGATGGCTTAGTGCTGTAACCTTGATTTAAACATATTGTATGATGGGACAAAGAAATGTTTCACTTGATAAAGCCAAGGTTAGCAATGCCTGTAGCATTACCTGGCAGGTAAAGATGCAGACTCTGTCATCTTGTACTCAACCTAGATTCATCCAAATTGCATTCCTGGACTTCCCCCCCCCATCCCCCAGAAAAATTAATCCTGCTGAGCACCACATGTAAACCTGCAGCTCACACTAGACACTCCCTTGAAATTTTTCAGTTTGCTTTAAGGATTTCACAAAAGTGGACTGGGCCGTTGAGTCAACAGTTTGGACATCAATAGCTTCCTACCCATTCTTCTCCACCTAAAACCCGCCATGTTCTCACCTCATACCCAATTTAGGGATTTAAGAAACCGAGCCAAAATAATGAAAATAAAGACTGACATTGCCTTTGGCTCTATTAGGCTTTCCATTTTGCAGTAACCAACAGAAAACCATCTGCCCCAGAAGATGTTGTTCTTCAAGAACCAACTGATGAAATTATCATTCCCTATCAATATCTTAACATCATCTAAAGTTAAGTAAGAGACAATCAGTACTGCTAAAGAATTAAGTCTCCTCATCCAAGCACCAAAAGGAAGTGCCTGAAGTACATCCTAACTTTCTTCCTGCCTTTCTGTCAAGGTAGTAGATACTTTTCACACCAAGTACATTATTAGCAATATAGTCCTTTTAAGCATGAGGGCAAATGCGTATATAAATTACTTGGATTAATTTCTAGGGAAACTTAGAAGAATTTCTACACCAAAAATCATTGCTTGATGGCACCTGTTTCTGCTCATGTTGATACATGAACTACTTACTTGTAGCAAGCAATCCAGAGTACCCTTGTAGTTTGAGTGTCCCCCATGCTGCTGGCTTCTCTGATTCATCATGCGTGTTCTCACAACATCAATTGGGTTGGATGCAAGGGCTCCAGCTAATCCACAAGTAAAACTTGAGCTAATAAAAGAAAGACTTAATGAAATCTGACCTACCACATTTCAAGATGCACAAGAATTCCCCCTCCCCAGAAAACATGCAGTAATAATGAGTGCTTAATGCTTTAAGTTAAAAATTACATCAGCTAATAGATGTGAAAAATTCCTTTTTATTTACTATAAAGCACCATTTTCACGATTTGATATACAGCCCTTTTAATAGAGTTCCTGCATACTTGAACAGATGTTTGTGCCTCTGAGAATAGCAAATATTTGATTGGAACTTGCCTCTAATCTCAGTTTGCAAAGATGTATGATTCAGATTACCCACAAACCAAAATTCCATATTCAAAAGAAAGCTAAATCCAAGTGCTAAATAAAATCAGCTTCCATGCTCTGTGCTACCATTTGAGATGTTATTGCGTTAAAAAGTATAAACACAAGTATATTTACACCTAGACTGACGACAGAAAAATCTAAATATTCATCCCCCATAATGAGAACTAACCAATGATGAGCTATGCAAGCATTTATACAAACTTACAGGAAGTGAGTATATACTGTATCTCCCATAAATCCAGACATAATTATGTGCTTCTTGGTAAGGTCATACACTGGCAGTTCCACTCCAACAACAATAGCAGCTCTCTGCGCTGTCAATGATACTCCCTGGCAAAAGAAAGGATAATGTTGAAGTTTAGTGCACAAAAGGTTAATTCTATCAGAAAAGCCTAGCTTTTATAATACAAAGCAACACATCATGAACATGTTAAGAACATTGTGGATTCAAGTAAGGCTAATTTGTACAGGTCTTAAATGTATGTGCTCCAAAAATGCAGATTAAAGTTAATAGATAACTCCCTTTTCCACACTGAACAGCAGTTTCAATTCCTTTATGCTGCTCCATCTCTGCTTAATATATGAATTCTTACATCAACAGTCAGCTAAGACCTCAACAGACAGGTGACACTGGCTCCCCTTGCAGCTAACTGAAAAACTAACAAAGGGAGATGAGCAGAAAAATTGAGATCAAGAAGCTTTGCAGAGAAAAACATGTGAATAGAAAACCATTTCTATTTTCCAGCTGTTTCAGAGCAACTGGCCATTCTTGGTCTTTGGTTGTTATACAGTCACTGAACGTAATTGGCAAAAAAGACAATCTACAAAGCTGAGTGCAAAAATTCCTGAGCTAAAGGAGATGTTCCAAAAGTACTAATGTACCTTTATATCCAAATGGTCTTTAGCACATATTTTAAAAAGAAGAAAGAATATAGATTGACAAGTATCTTGCCAAGGGCTGTTGAACTAGTCCTAGGGCCAGTCACCCTAATTTAATCCTCTATTTGTCTCCCCTTTTTTAAGCAGCAGCTAATCCTTGAACACAAGGCTGGCAATAAGCCTTTTCAAAATGCATCAAGACACCAGCAGTGGTCATAACAAACTACATATATATTAGCTGCTGATTTCTCCATATTTTGGCTGAGAATATTGCAGAAATACATGCAATTCAGTTGAGCAAGAAAGTGTACTTTGAGTGCAGGATTTAGTTCAAAAAACTTGCCTTCCATAATCCTTTAGTGCCTTCCTTTTGGTAGATCTGTATGAAGTTGCCCATCATTCCTCCTTGAATCACACTGCCTTGGGCTTGCATTCTGATCTGAGATTCATTTGAAGATAAAATTAGAAAAATCAATACTTTTCAAACATGGAACCAGTAATAATTTAATACAGTTATTACCATTTAAGTTACAATCTTTTAAGTAAAATTTGAATACAGATTAATAGCTGACATTATCATAACCAGGATGAAATCTTTTGAAGTGCCTTAACTATACAAATGCAGCTGCTAATTTTGAACGAGTACGTGGTATAAGTTCTTAACTGCATTAAGTCATGTCTATTTCTGTACTGGTACAACTATTCCACTTAGATTAGACTGACAGATGGGTTCTGCAGGATGTCCTTTACAGTGTTCTCACAGGAACATGTTAAAATGAAAGGTTAAAGGTTACAGTTTCAGCTGGTGAGAACCATGGTCTTTGACACTGTGGACTTCTAAAACCGTCCTTGGGAAACTGCCATGGTAACTACCAATTACAAGTTTGATGACAGGCAAGTTGGTATGTGAACATAATTTTGGGAAATAACTAATAAAAGCCACACTTTAAATAGAAGCTTGTGTTTGAAATGCCTCTAAATAACGACATTAGCCCCATAAAGGATTATGTTTTTAGCAGTTTTAGAAGAACCAAAAGTTTTCTTGAATTTTTCTTAGAGGGAACCACATGCTATGTTTAGTAAATTAAAAACCATCAACCCTTTCAAGTAACTGGAAAAGAAGTCATTGACTATCATTAAGCTAGCAGATTCTTAAGGAGGTGAGAGTTTCACTACTTCATTTTAAATGACTGATGCTGGAACACTACTTCCTCCACGGGACACTGGATTGCCAAACTTCTCTACGTGGCTTAAGGATCACAGAGTGTAAGTATCACTCATTGAAACTCTTGCCTCTCAATTCATCTTCACCTATTCTGAGCTCTAGAAACATCCTCATATAACAGTGTTACTAAGAAGTATAGATGAAATATGCAGAGTGGCTTCCATACAAAGACTGTAGCATGAAAGTTAAAGAATCATCTAAAGTTATTCTCTCCCCACGCCTACAAGAAGTTGTATGGATCCAACTACCTTCCCAGCCATCAGTCTCCTGGTGCATACTTCAAATAATTACTATGGACCAGAAGGAGGTTAGAATAATTTAGGATGTCCCTGATTACTTCTTTTAAAGTTAAGAGATGATAATAAATAGTTACAAAACAACAAATCCTATGTTCATCAGGAGATTCCGTATTTCCTCAAGGGAAGGACAAAAACTAAGGACAAACTCTACATAACGCATAATTACCTTTAAGACATCTGTAGGGTTGGCAATAGATGATGAGATTACTCCCGAAAGAATGCCACATAGAACATTTATCATCAGGGTTTCATCTGTTTCATAAACAAAGAAAAAGAGTTTAGCTGCACATGTACAAGGCTGAAGATGCACCAGGGCAGGATGATGCCATCTCTCCTTGAACCAGAAAGAGTGCCAATTACAGAAACCTTAAAAACTGCTCCAACAAGTTTTCCTTGCTAGCTCACTTTGTTGTAATTGGTAAAAGGAATGTCTTCTCAGTAGACTTGGTCAAACCACTACAGTAAGATACCAAATGGAAACAACCAGCTTCAAGCAAAGTATTTCTCAACTAAATTGAAAAAAAAAAAACCCACTCACCTTCTGGATGCTCAACAAACATTCTCTTTAAGCTCTGGTAGGTGCCTATTTTTATAGTTCCATATGAAGCTTGGCGCAGCATTGCAGGTGCAATCCTGTAAAAGTAGGCAGTGATAATATTTATGCTCAAAGTCACTGATTAGCAAATACTTTCTAGAGCAGAACAGACTGAACACAGGATATCTACCAGAGAAAGGTTTGCTCATTTAAATCAACAATTTAAACTCACTACAGACAAATCAAGGTTTTATTGTTTTGGTTTTGCGTTGTTTGTTTTTTGTTTTTGTTTTTTAAATAAAGCCTGTGAGAACACGAATGAACTGTGAAAGGATTATGTTTATACATGCCTCAGCTTGCGATCTGTAAAATAACTGGCAAGTCTGTCCGAAATGCAATCTGCAAATTACATCCTTCATCCACCCTCTTGCATGTTTTGAAGACAAGCATGCCCATTTATACACAAAGGTTAATTTGGTTTTTCTTGAGATATGGAACAACCACAGCAACATTGTAAAGAATAACTTTATGCTTAGCATTCTTTTTTTTTTTCCAAGTAGGTTGGTTTGGTTTTTTTAAAACGTGAAGTGCTATGGCAGTGTGCAAAGACTGAAGCAATCTAAGCTTGGGCTTTCAACTTCCAGATTAATTGGAGCTAACCAAATACCTTGTAAATCTGAAACCCAAAAACTCATACACCATGGGCTAATACGTATCAATATACTGTTCAAAAACCATTATTGTAAGTCAGTTTATTTTACCCAGAGTATAAGGCTTTCAATCCTTCTTCTCTGCATATTCTGACTAGCGCATGCACCATTCCACGGTAGCGGATCTCTTTATATTTGGCATCGTTAACTTGACCTTGAACCTGCAGACGTGTTTTGGTCAGATCAATGGGGAAAGTACCTTAAAGAAAAATCAGACATAAAATTATTCAAGTGCTTATCTAACCACAGACAACAAAGAACATGATATAGGAAAAAGAAGCCTTTATTATATACTAAAATACATAAAGAAACTCCCTGGGGAAAAAGTGTTTAAAAGAAAGTCTTGGTAGAAGACAAGTGGTTCATTTTATGTCACCTTGATTCTTTTAAAAGCTTGCCAGAGGCCCTGCCTACTTCCTGTGTTTATGTTTTGCATTGACTATGTTTTCAGGCAACATGGTATTGCCTGGTTGTAAAGAGCCACACCAAAGAAGACTCTGCAATCAAAATCAAGTACAGAGTTTGCACATGTATTCTACCAACATTTTTGAAGAGCATTTCATGGAAAGCCAATAAATAAATTCCATAGGACAAGCTATACAGATTCTAGTTTAGAACCTAAAAAAGCAACAGCAGCACTACCCATTTCTGTTATTGCTTTCCTGTAACCTACTGCTGTAGCAAGTTCATACTCTCCATGCTCCCTTGATGAAAGGGTTTAGAAAGCACATTCCTCCAGAGCTTATCTTTGGGAAAGGTATCACCTCAACACTCAGAGGATTCAGGACTAACTACATCTGTTCTAACAAGGTTTTACCAAGCAGGCAAGCCTTTTATTAATTTATTGTCTTCCTCATTAAGCTTTTGGCATTATTTGGTCAAGTCAAATAAGAAGTCTCAAACTCAAGTTTGAACAAGATTCATAAGAGAAGGCAGTAATTTTATACTACATCTACTTTGTTAGACTTAACATGCAAGGCCACCACATGTAAGACTATGTTCACCTACTTGGAAAATCCAGATTTCCTTTATTTTCATGTACATGCATTTCAGATAAGACTTTAATAGGACATTATTATTTTAGGTTTGTCTTTAGAGTAAGCACTAAAACATCAAATGCACTGTATGCTGCACACTTACTGAATTCAAGTGTTAAAATCTAATCAGCCACTCGCATTCAAGAAAAGGGAAAATTTAACTGCAATATAGCTACTCAGAAGAGCTAAGAGAAAAAAATTTACAAGTGAAGTGCTTAACTTGCATACTTGAGCAGAAAAACAAGGTGCATATACTTACAACCACTGTCTAGGAACAGATCAACAAACACCAAATAATAGCATGCAAGGGCAAAGTTCGTATAAAAAACAAGGCTCACAGGAAACGTGCGTTTACAGACAGAAGTGCTCAGATGTAACAAAGCTCTGAGTAACTCTTCAGCCAGCATTAAAGAAAAAACTCCTACACTGTAGGAATACAGCATACTGTAACTACGCTACCATATACTATGTGTCTCTGACAGCATGGAACTGAGCTTGTTTTAAAAAGGACTATTTGAATAAAAGAAATCGTGTAAACAGTTAAAGGAAAAGCTTACCACATTCTGCAGTGATTGATGCTAAACCACCATAGATAAAGGGCTTCCAGTTTAGTGCTGACATTATTGATTCTTCTTTCTGTGAAATAAGACAATGATTTAATGCTTCTGTAAGTACATGTTATATAAATATATATGCTAATATTTAATAAAACTTTGTGCCTTGCCCATTTCAGATGGACCCTCCAAACATGCTAAAGGTAGAAACATTTAATACCTTTGACAATTAGAAGTCAGTAATACCTCACAAAGGCATCTGGGTTCAGATCAATGCTTCTGTTATGTATTTGGGCCACCACTATCCTCACCACAAAAGGTTGTAGTAGTTCGTATCCCAGGAATGATCTTAAGGAGCACTACAGTGAATACCCTCCAACAATTCTTACCAAGCTGAATTAGTTTGACTACATCCTGAAATCAAATGGAACTTTAAGATAATTATTTACTAACTTCTGTCCCATTTTTCCTGCTATCAACATTAACATGAGCTGCTACACTTGAACAGAAAATAAGGAAACATACAAAATTTTGCTTCCATTAAGGCCTATTTCTGCTACCAGTGTTCACAATATTCATTCCTGTGAACATACAAAAATACTGTAAACTGGTGCATAAGGCCTTTTACAGTAAAAAAGCCTGCTCTAACTTGTGAGTGAATTAAGTGAATCTGACAGTGACTACAAATCGTAATTGGCATTTGCTTGCTGAAGTAATCCAATTATCTTAGAAAAGATACAAGAACTGCAAAACCCAACTACTCCAGCCAATACAAGATTACCCTTCTCAAAACCGAGTAGGTGTCTCCACAATTTATTTTTCCCTTCATCATATAAATACTTTCCTTCCCCCGTTTCTATAATATTGTCCTAAACATTGGATTTTACAGTTATCTTCTGCTAATTAATTTTGTGGAATAACTGTACTTGAAACTATTTCCTTTGGCACTTCTATTCCCTGTTGCTTTGTTTATTCACCCACACTGCCCAGCTGGAAAGTATCACAAATACACCAGTTACTTAGAACTGCCTTTTGCACAGACAAACCTTCTTTGGTCACTTCCTCTAGAAGTGCCAATAACGCAGCGTCCAAATGAAGTTAACAGAAGTTGCAGACGCTGAGCGTGCCTGAATAGTTACTGCAGCCCTAGTTTTCCTTTTATCATCTTTACTTCATGAAGAGTTACCCGAGTCTTCAGTCTTCTGACAGTCAATAAAAAACCCACAGAAGCACATAATTTCAATTACTCAACAACCAAGTGCACAGAAATCTATTTTACTCTTCAGGCCACTGCAAAGAACAGTGATGACGTAAAAAAAAAACACAAAGGAAAGGCAATTAAGGACACCCACAATAGTGCCAAAAGAGTGCTGTGCAGAGATCAGGAGCCACAGGCAGAGTCTATGGCAGCTTTTCAACATGAAACCGGCAGAGCCACAAGGGTATGACACTGTGCCAGAGGGAGGCCACTTCCAGCTCCAAGTTCCTCATATTCCTGTCCTTACATGACTAAAGGCAGATCATGCAATTAATGGAGACAAAGCTCAGCTCAGTTTCCCCACTGTTAGCTTTCACTGCAGAATAAATTGAGGTCTTCAATTTCATTAAAAAGAAATCATCCTTATCAAATATGTATTATTGTTCCCTGAATATCAGTAAGATGACAGAGGTGATAGTACCCCTAAAGGACACTGGGTTAGATTAGTAAAGCAATTCATCCACACACTCTTTGCAAATACCACAAGCAAGTTTGATTGCTTTTAATTGCCAGTGTGACTGAAACAAAATCAAAAGCCCAGGTTCCATAAAAAAATGCATTACTTAAAAGAAATATTTAGATACTCCCCTGTTAGAGAATAGACTTTAAAAGTCACATATCAAATTCTCTATTGGGTAGCAATATTGCTAGCATACTAGGCACACAGAATACTCCAGTTTATAATCGTTTAAATTATTTAGAATGGATTTGACCCTTGAATGTTACAGAAGGCTTATGAGTTACTAGTCCAAAAAAGTTATTGCCTGTAACATAAGACAGTTATCCAAGCAATACTTTCTAACGGCACGGATTACACTGCAGGCAGACAGCTCAGACTTTGTATTCAAGTAGTGAAACACCATCAGAAAGAAATGATAAAAAAAAAAATGGGGGCCGAAGCTGGCAACCATCGCGGCAAGTTCTTGCAAAACACCAGCTCTCTTTCAAGCGCAGCGAACCCCTCGTCTCCCCAGAAACCGGAGGGATCGCCTGCTGAGCAGCACCACCAGGCTGTTTTAAACACCTGAAGGCCACTGTAACACCTGTTAAAGAGGCGAAACGACTCTGCCGGCCGAGTCCCCACCAGCCAGGAGGGGAAGACAACCAAGAGAAGGAAGCAACATGTCCCTGCTCGGGAGTGGAGGGCTCTGGGCGAGCAAACCCTCGCCCTCCGTTAGAGACAACGAGGGGTGAAGCTGAGAGAAATACACCCGGCCGGCGAGGCGGCGGAGGGGCCGGCGAGGCCCCCTTTGGGGCCTCGCCGGCCGGACGAACGATGGTCTCCCACCCTCCCCACCCGAGGAGCCGCCACCTTCCCTCCCCACTCACCGCCGGGGCTTCCCGTTCCTTCCGCCGCCACGCTAAGCCGCCGGCCCGCCGGTGCCTCGCCGGTTATAAAGCCCCGCCGGCCGCGCTCCCTCAGCCGGGGCGGCCGTTGGAGCGCCCGCCCCGCCCCGCCTCGCTTCCCCACCGCCGCGTTGGCCGGGGAGGGAAAGGGCGGGCTCGCCTGAGGGGACTGAGGCGGCCGGGACCGGCGGGGGTGTGAAAGGGGTGGATTTAAAGGAGCAGCGGGGAGGTTTGGACCGTGAGGGGAGGTAACGTCACGCACCAGGAGCAGGTTGGGGACTGTCTTGCTGGAGAGCACTTCTGAGGAGAAAGGCCTAGGAGTCCTGGTGGACAATAGGATGAGTGTGAGCCAGCAATGTGGCCAAGAAGGCCAATGGCACCCTGGGGGGCATCCAGAAAAGTGGGACCAGCAGGTGGAGAGAGGTTATCCCTCTGCTCTGCCCTGGTGAGGCCCCATCTGGAGTACTGTGTCCAGTTCTGGGCTCCCCAGTTCAAGAAGAACAGAGAACTGCTGTAGAGGGTACAGCAGAGGGCTACAAAGATGATAAGGGCCTGGAGCATCTCCCTTACAAGGAGAGGCTGAGGGACTAGAGAAAAGAAGGCTGAGGGGGTGTCTGATCAATCCCTATAAATACTTAAAGGGTGGGTGTCAAGAGGATGGGGCCAGTCTTTTTTCAGTGGTGCCCAGGGACAAGACAAGAGGAAATGGGCACAAACTTGAGTATAAGAAGTTCCGCCTAAACATGAGGAGGAACTTCTTCACTTTGAGGGTGGCAGAGCTCTGGAACAGGCTGCCCAGAGAGGTGGTGGAGTCTCCTTCTCTGCAGACATTCAAAACCCGCCTGGACACGTTCCTGTGCAACCTGCTTGAAGTGGACCTGCTCTGGCAGGGATTGTTGGACTAGATGATCTCCAGATGTCCCTTCCAACCCCATGTGATTCTGTGATTCTCTTTGGCTTGAGGGGGACACCATGCTGGCCTGTAATAAATGGGGGGGGGGAAATTAACCTCCCCATTGCTTCCAGTCAGAAGTGGAAGCCGCTGGCCTTGGGAGGCTTTTGGCTAGCAGGGAAGGGTGGTATTTTCCACTAGCAATCCTGCCCCAGGAGGCTGGAAGAGGTATGTCAGGTATTTCAGTGCTCCTCGGTTGATGAACAGGTCGTTCACCCCTCAGGGTTTCTCCCCATCATTAACATGTAACGACATTGATTTTGTCCCTCTGTTGACAGTGGCATGGCCGCCTCTGCTGCCTGGCGACAGGACAGCAGTATCTGGGGCTCAGCTGCCTTATATTGGTAGGAACCTTAGATGCCCGCTCTGTGGAGGAACAGAAAGGGGCAGGGTGGGTTTAAATAGCTACTTTGCTCTTAAAAATACCCCACTGCATATTTTTGACAAAATAGTTCCAGAGGTGATTCTTTTTGTTATTCTGCAGCTCTGTGCAGTTCCAACTATGTTTCTTTGCATTACCAACGCTGAAATTATGCATTCAGCATGCAACCTTTACATTGCATCACCTTGTAAATGTATATCCAGTGCCCTTCCAGAAGGATCTCCGTGTGCTGTACATGACACCGGCTGTGGCCACCGTAACGCCGCCTGGCCAGAGGAGGAACACGGGGGCTATCCAAAAGGGCGCTGTTACAGGTGGCTGTGACCAGTCCACCAAGCCTGGAAGAGAACCAGAACTAGTCCGTTCCCTTGGTTCAGAGCCCAGGACTCCCTGTGAAATAGTTGAAATTACCTCTTTCTCTGCCCTTAAAGGCAGCCTGTTCTGGCAACTCAGCACTTTCCCTTTCTGACTGAAGAGCTGCCAGACAGTGCTTGTAGGACCTGCCTCCATGGGCTTGTAGGATCTACCCCTGGGGAGCAGGCCTGCTGCTGCTGTCACTCTGCTGCCTCCCAAATGGATGGCATGCCTTAACCCTGAAAGGTCAGAACATCCTGCCGAACTGCCCCCTTCCCTAATCTCAGGGCAAGGCTGGCAGCTGAGAAACTTTATTTAAACTTACCTTCGCCTTTTTTTAAGCTTAGCCTTACCTAAAGCTCCAGCTTTAAGGTGGAGGAAGGGGATGATGTCCATTCAGCCCTCATGAAGAGGCTGGCTGTGGCCTTACATTAATCTGTCATAAGAAATCCAACATTGGGGTCCCACTGTGCAGTGAAAACAGGTGTCTACAACCATCCAAGTCCCATCACAGAGTGTTGCAAAGTTGTCTTTGCAAATGGGCCTCTTGGAAGGTAGAAACTCACACCTCAGAAGTGGTACTTGTGCCCACACCTCCTTCTGAAATTCCTAGTAGTTGTCTGGTGCTTTCAAGGTTTTATATCTACAGTGGAGGGGATCTCATTTGAGCTAAACTTTGAAGGGCTCCTTTCTTTTTGCACAGAGATCGTTTGGACTGATTCTAACACTGAGTGATTTTGCAGGACAGCTGCTTCTGTTTTCTGACTTCCCGAATTTCTGTTTCCCCTTCAGAAGGACTTCAGGTTCAGTTTGACCTTAAGCTGTTCCTGGAGTTTGGCCAGCCCCTTCCGCAGGCAGCCGGTTTTTATTATCTCTGCTGCAAACCGGTTCCTGCTCACCCGTTACGGCTTGCACCTGATCATATTTCTTAAGTACCTGCTAGTACTCAGCCATGCACTTCTGAATAAAGAGGAATTCAGGCTACCTTTTGTTATGTCTAGTAACAGGGATGTAGCCCCTGAATAACCTCTTTTCTTGCATTTTCAACCCGTTTAATACTACGAGATACGTAATGCTTTTATCATCAGCCAGTAGGCTGGTTTTGGCAAGCTGCCTTGAGCGTGACATCAGTGCCGTGTCAGCAGTTGACTTTGGTGCTCAGCATCTTTTCACATGTCTGGGAACGATCCACGTGCTACCGGTGTGCTACCGGTTACACAGTCTTACAACAGTTTTGGCCAAAAGCCAGTTCTTTCCTGCTGGGCTGTGTAGGGCTAAGGTTTAATCAACTAGTTCCCAGACCCCTAACCTTACCGCTCCTGGGTTTCCTCATGCATTTTTTGTGTTTCTTTTTTTAAAAAAAGAGAGCCACTCTCTACTTCTAAACAATTCTACCAGAGAGCTCTGCTTTTTTTCAGTCCCAGGGAGTTGGGACTGTTTAGTATGAGGAAGAGGAGGCTTAGGGGAGACCTCATCACTCTCTACAACTTCGTGAAAGGACACTGTAGAGAGGTTGGTGCTGGTCTCTTCTCACAGGTAATTAGTGAGAGAACGAGAGGGAATGGCTTCAAGCTCCAACAGGGTAGGTTTAGACTGAACATTAGGAAGGAATTTTTCACCGAAAGAGTGGTAGGGCATTGGAACAGGCTGCCCAGGGAGGGGGTGGAGTCACCATCCCTGGGCTGTGTTCAAGGGCCATTTAGATACAGTGCTAAGGGACATGGTGTAGGGGAGGACTTTGTAGAGTAGGGTAGATGGTTGGACTCGATGATCCCAAGGGTCTCTTCCAACCTAGACGATTCTATGATTCTATGATTCTGCCTTGATTCTTGTTTCCACTGCTGCTTACAATGGAAAATCGTTTCTCTTTTGGTCTCTGCGGTGGCAAAGACAGTTTTGCCTAGTGTCCTACTGCCTAAATGAATGGTTAGTGAAGTGGCCCAGATGGTTATGGCCTTACTCAAACTGCCTTGTCATTTTATTGCTAGTTGTAACCATTGAAGAGTTTCCTTTGTTTCTTGGAAGCTTTCATAATTATTAGTCACATAATTAATTTACTTTGTCCGTGTCCCATTGGCTGCATGAGGAAAGCAAGTCTGCACCTGAAGTCAACCGCTCCCTGCCCTGGCACAGCCTTCTCACCTTCGGCATTTGCACTCTCCTTCTGAGGAGGAGTTAATCTGACCCTCAGTCGTACAGCAGATGATTTTATTGGAAAAAATAAACACTCAAGGGGCTATAGGCATGTGTAAAAATGTAAGAAATATTAACTAGTCCTTCCATTGTATTTGCCAGATGCAAAGCCTCAGCTGGAGCACCACGTCCAGCTGTGTGTCGTGCATTTCAGGACGGCTGTAGAGGGGAGTTAGGAGAATAAGACTAGGGATGCAAAACATGATCTGCAAGGAAGGATTCAAAGAAGTGGACTTGTTTATATTAAAAAAAAGATTGAAGGTAACATAATCTTCGAGGCTGAAAGGGGTCTGTACAGAGGAAAGGAATTATCTCTTCTCCACCACTTGTATTAGAAATTAGAACAGACTTTCTAGTGGTATGGACAGTGCCAGATAAGGCTAACTGGGGAGCTTGCACTGACTTTGTCTCCACAAGCTTTTAAAAACTGGTAAGCAGCTGTTTCTCAGGAGTGGTTTCAGTCTGGATGATCCAGCCCAATCATAGGGATGGACTCCCAAAGGCCTTTCCAGCCTTTTTTTCTGTAATTCACTGACATTTCCTGCTCCAGCTTCTACCGTATGTTGTACAGGCCCACGATGACAACACAGCTTACAGTTTCTAACTCAGTAACAGACTCTTCTGTGCAGAGTTCAAGGACAAAGGAAAGTGAAAGCAGGAATAACAGTTAATGCTATCGCCTTTTTGTTATTTTTTTTTTTTATAATCTGATTTGGCCTCTGGCATTGGCTAGATCCAAAGGTCTTTATCATTTCCTGGTTTTGTGGATATAAAAGAAACCCGTTATTTGCTTTTAATGTGTAGAGGGTGAAGGAACTGAGAGCAGTTCCAGCCTTTGAGGGTGAAGGAACTGAGGATAGTTCCAGGCTTTGAGTAGAGGAGAGAGTCATACAGTGTGAGTTCCCAGCAAGGCAATTCTGGTAAATGTAAACCTGTAATCCAGACAAAATTTTCTGAAAGTGTTGCAATCTTCCAGCGCGTCCTGGGAAGCTGATTTCTCGTCATTTCTGAGACTCCCTATGGAGATAATAATTCCTATGTGTGTCACGGTGTTGGATCTGATGTTATTTGAATCAAGAAATGAAAAGTGGTTAAAGATTCTTAAATAGGAAGGCACTGTGGAAGGCTTTTCACTACTATGTGATACTTTCCAACCTCAACAGGTGATCTGAAAAGTAAGCTGTTGTCCTCTGACCGCTTGCCAAATAGAGATTAGTCATAATTGCTT